ATCGTCGTGGGCCGTATAGATGCAAAAACTCAACCTAATTCCTGATATATGACATACCAGTTAAGAAAAATGCATGAAATGAAACCATAACTCAAAAATAAATTAAAGGTAAGAAATGTGGAAAATATATTTACCTTCACGTATATACTTATATTTACCCACTAAAGAAGTCCATATTTGTATTACTCAGACTATATTATAAAAAATATTGCAACAACGAAATATTAAATTTGGATGACAAAAGGAAATTTTAAATTTTACTTATGAATTACAGCAAACTATACATCATATGAAGCCATCAAAATCTGATTCTTCACTATCTGAATTAAAAAAGATTTAGTAAATCCTGATCTAAGTCTTCCAGATTGTCACATTCATCCTCTTGATTTACAGTCTCTTTATCTAAGGATATAATTTCAGCTTCTTTGAACCCTGCTATTATTGACGATGTTTCTACCCATTTCCACGCACTTCCTGCCCACTTTGCAATTTCTTCATAAGATGCTCTACGCATTTTACAGCTTTTGGTTTACGTATGCAATCCTTCACTCATCCAACACTCCCACTGCTTTCGGACTTCAGCTTTGAAGGATTTATTACCTGACAAATCTAACGGTTGTAAGATTTTTATCAAACCACCAGGAATTATTGCTTCTGTCGTAGACAATTTTTGACATCTGATTTTCACTGACTCAAAGAAATGAGCACACATGGAATCCATTATCAATAACCCCTTTGGTTGGAAAAAAGATCCCATACGACACTGCCAAACTTTTTGTAGCCACTCATGCATGATTGTTTCGCATATCTAGCCATTCTCGCTTGCACAAATAATTACGTCATTACGAAAATTTCCCTTCGGAATAGTCTTTCGTTTAAAAATGATAATCGGCTTTAGCTTGTCACCGTTTGTGGCACAAGCTAACACACATGTAAATGACGTTCTCTTCATGCCCCGTCATAAAGCACAGATACAGTTTTTGCACCAGTTTCATCAACAGTTCTGTTTGCTGCAGGAGAGTCGAAAGCTAACGGCATTTCATATTTCATCCATATTTATTATCTGTGACCGAAGAAGTTTTTTTTTTGGTCAATAATAGCTGTCACATATTTTAGAAAAGATGACTTTTTATCCTGCCAGTCCATTGGTAATTGTTGCCCAACTGTTGTTCTAGTACGCACAGAAATATTTTTCTTTTCATAAATCTGCTACACCTCCTTTGAAATCATTTATGTTCATTCGTTTTGCTATAAATTTTGCTTGTAAGCGAATTTTTACCGTCGAAATTGCCATTCCCTTTCCTCGTTGCTCCTTTATCCAGTTTACAAGGTCGTCCTCTAGATTTGGCCACCTTACAGTACCACTTCTTTTGGCTCGTTTCTGTTGTGGCATATTTTTAAGAAGTTCTTTTTGAGTTCTCCAACGTTGAATACATCTGTCATCCACTTCAAACTCTCGAGCTGCTGCTCGATTTCCAATTTGTTCAGCACGGGAAATTACATTAAGCTTAAAACCAGCACTTCTGTGCCGTTTAGGGACATTTTCAAAAATTTTTCGCTTCCTTCTTACTTAAAAACTATCCAACAAGTACTTGTACCCAAACTGATGGGATCTATTTCTGGCAGAATGCCAAAAAAAAAAAAATCCATTCATGCTGAAGGGGAAATTCGTCAGAGTTCGTTATTGTGAGGCAGGTGGAGTCGTGTCCGCCTTCGAAAAAAATTGCAGAAAAGGCAGGGGTGGGGAGAGGATGGGTCCTGGAAGATTCATCGAATGGCAGAGGAGAGAGACTATTCAAACTGATGAGAATGTTGATTTGAAAGGGGGAAGAATGTTATTGTTCTGAGATCTCATTAGGGTGAATAAGGCATGTAGGTCCGTTCAAGGGAAAGAATGTAAACAAAATAACGTTCGCAAAAAGCAACTGAGTGGTCTTTTGTGTGGGAACAGCACCAGTCTATGCACAATGACAAGGCCATCCAAACTATGTGCAATGACCATCATAGGAAATATTTTATTTTTAGTGCACCTAAATGCCGCATGGGTAGAAACGCCGCACCCGCTGAAAATTTGTTTTAAACATGTAAACGCCGTGGCATTTCTTCCGGAAATTACGGTAAAAATTCTCTAAACTTGTGATTATAAAGAGCTTTAGCTACAGTTGTAACCAATTCCATAACATTGCAAATTTCCTCTGGAAATGTTTGTGTGCAAAGTTCTTCTTGCTGAATGATGCAATTGTAAACAAGTATCTCATGATTAATTTTTTCCCTTTAAAACGGAAACAAAACATTTTCTTATGCCGGTTTACTTTTTGCCCCATCTGTTAAATATGAAACAGTTTTATGGAATGGAATGTGATATTAGTCCATGCATTCTATGACAGCTTTTGCAATATCCTGGCCATAAGTTTAACCTTTCCAGTGGATATAATCCTAAAAGTCTTTTAAGGCCCGTGGATGAAATAAATTCGATCAAAAAGCAAAACTTGCACTGTGTCATTCATGTCACTAGATTCACCAACAGCTCTTGACAAAGCTGAAATCAATTTAAGATCTTTGATCTACCGATTGGTTGTATTTGAAGACATTTTGACTTTTCTGTCTTTTACTGTTTTAGCAGACAGTGGTAATTTTTTTAAGAATTTTTGCCTTGTTCGTAAAATCTCGGAAAAGCTCTTCAGATGTTTTTATTAAATAATTTTAAGTTCTTTAGCTGCTTTCTTCCTGACATCACAACAGAATATTTACTGCCAAATGACATGTATTTAGTTGTAAAGTATTTTTTCAAATTTGATTTCTTGTTATGCTCTAATATTTTTTGACAAGTACAACAAGTCGGAAGGCTATTTGAGTTTTGTATAAATGGGAACAGATATATCCATTCAGCTTTAAATTTGTGGTTTTAGTCTTCCATTTTTTTAGCCATGTCAAATGGATGGCAATGAAAACATATTTCATTGTATAGCAATAAAAGCAGCATCACAAAGTTATAACAGCTTATTAAATTGATGCCAAAAATACTTTTGAGATTTATAGCTGGTTGAAATACACAAGTAGGTTAAGGTGTTGAGTAGGTATTCTCGTCATTCACGTGAGACTTTATGGCATCTCTGATACTGACCACTGCATACTAATGGACAAGCCATCATTGGCTTGCTCTTGCTTAACTCGTGCATTAATCATGTGTGTATCCTTTGTGCCCATATGCGGTACGTCAGTCTCCCATCCCGCTCTCCCACAGGTAGCTGAAATCAATTTTTGGCAGAGCTGCATATGTCTTGTGAGCTGTGCTGTACCGACCAGTATGCTAAAGAAATAATGAATTTTATAAATTTAATGCCTTCTAATTCCAGTTTTATGAAAAGCTAGCCTAAAATTTATTGTCATGGGTTTAATACATTTTTCTTGTTTTATTTAATATTCCCCTTACCTTTCTATCATTTAAGCAACAGGTTACTGCCATCATAGCAGATCCCTGCCCCTATAATGGTATAACATTATCATAAGTACCAGATCTGAGATACGAGATGTATATATTGACTCAGTTAATGAGGGGTATATAACAAGCATCTTAGAGATATATCTAAGATAGGGTATGTAAGTGCATCGTATTCAGCTAGAAATGGCACCGCAGGAGAAAGAAATAATCATGCAATACCATGAATATGTATAATACTTCACAATTATATGATCCGAGTAATAATGTTAGTATGTAATTTCAGTATACTCAAAGAAAAAATTTTATATGGGAGAGAAACAGGAACTAGTTTAAAATATCAGGACTAAAGTGTTATTGAAAATCTGGGGAATCTAACCTTAAGCCTGTTGAAAAGACCGTGATAATTTGAAAGTTAAATAATGAGTTAAATCACATCAGTGAATGGTCTGAAGATCCTTAAAGATTTCATTTAGATGGGCAGTGAGTAATAGAAACCAGCAAACGGATAAAAGCACATGCTATGAGGAGCTTCTGAGAGGAAAATATATCAAGTCAAGTTATCTGTCCAGACTTTACTGTCCCCTCCCCCAGTTTTCAGATTCATCACATCATCATTTAATTTTGTAATTATGATGTAAATTGGTGAGTATTGATACATTTTGTTTTTCATGCAATTGAAATAAAATTTTATTCTTTTCATGCCACATCGACTACTGTTGTTAAGCGTAGGAATATTATTGCATATTATGCTTAATATATATATAATGTAATTAACATGATCCAGAATTTGAAATCGTGCTAAAATTATGATTATTCTGTTAAAAAATTAATTATTTTTAAATTATATGATGATATGATTATTTTATGCCTTAAAGATTTATCTTATTTTATTTATTTTTTATTATTTATTATTTTTTTAAAGGTATAAAGAAATTAAACCAAACTGAGAAGTGTTTTAAATTACTGAATGTGCAAGTTTTACTTTAATATCTGATAAGTTTTATTTAAATTAATTTATTTATTGTGAATTAAATATTGATTTGGATTTTTAATGTTGGATTTTGGTTAACAAATTTAATTATAGCCAAATTCTATAATTTGAGTAAAATATTTTATGATAATGATATAAGATTTGAAGAAATTTTGTATTATAATGGCCTAAAATGTTTCATCTGAAGTTCAATTAGTATGAAGCGATTTTAAAAGAACTGAAATTTTTCCTGAAAATGTATTTTCCCATGTTTTACGTAATGTGAAATATATTAAACTTTTTTCTGCTTAGTACTACAGACAATTGATGGTGTTTAGGGTTCATTCAAGTGAAATATGCTAAATTGTCAGTAATTTACACAGTTAAACACAAAAACTATTTTCTTCTTTTTCTTATTGCATGACTTTTAGCAAAATGTGTTTCTAATTGAGCTGTGAAAATTTTTCAGTGAAATAGGTTTTAATTATGCAAACTTTCATTCATAACATAGCATCTGTATTCACTATTGTCTGAAAGTTTTTGTATAGTTTGTATTAGCATATTTAATATTTATATTTTAATTTTTAGGAAGGTGAAAATGCAATTGATTTTGCAAAGAGAGTCAAAAGTATTATATCAAGACAAGGAGGTTTAGTTGACCTTGAATGGTATTTTCTATCTTTATTATTATACCTAAAGGCATTAATTATTTGTGTATTTTCTCCTTACTGTGTTTTATTACTTACCATTTTTTTGAGAAACTAAAATTATTTTGAATTTTTGCTAATGAGTAAAACTGAAACTGTAGTATAGCATTTGTTCGAAATGTTGAACAATTGTAGAAATGACAATAACGGTGAAGCATGCAAGGATCAATTATGTAGCAACCACACATTTTCTGTAGCTGATATTAGGCAATATTTGTTCAGTAAGTCATTGATGCATATCTGTTAAGCAAATCAGTTTTACACATCAAATTTTAGTTTTACACATCAAACTTTAGAGCAGTGGTTCTCAACCTTTTCTCTATCACGTACCATCTAAACAAAAACTGAAAGCCTTTAATACCACCACTACATTTTACAATGATTATTTTTCAATTTTCTCAATAGAAATATTAAATAACAACAGCAACCGTAATAATAATATTAAAATCTGAAAGCTTTCAGATTTTACATTATGCCCAAGGGGACACCTTTTGTAACATTTTGTGTGTTACCTTTATTTATTAAATATCATGTCCTTCACACTTAAACCATAAAATTCAATTCAACAGCAATATCGCAAAATAATTTAAAATGAGCATATCTTTAGAATTTCTGATACACAATCTCGCACGTTGGAGATAAAAATCTTTTTTACTTTATAATTTTCCCATTCCTTACTTTGAAATCATTGAGTTTGTTAATTAAAAATTCGTTGTAAATTTAGTTTCAGGTGCGACTTCCTTTATTTGAGAAATCTCTCTGGAATGTTTTCCCGTTAAAGCACGAACTCCGTCACTGCATACGACAATGCACTTATATGAACGATATTCTCAGACATAAATTGTGAATTACTTTGAAAATTTCACTCACAGTTGCTCTATCATGAAGAGATTCACAAAATAAATGTGCTTCAGGAATTCGTTTATCTTCTTCAAAGCGTATGTAAACTAATAATTGTACAAAGTTCATTATATCAGTACTTTCATCCAACTGCAATGCAAAATACTCACTATGTTATATTTTTTGAATAAGTGTCTCTTTTATGGAATTTGTCATTTCATGAATTCGTCGAATTACTGTATCATTTGATAACGGAATATTATTAAAACCATTAGTCTCTTTTTCGTTGAATACTGCTAAAGTGATATCTTTAGCTGCTGGTAATATAAGATTTTCTCCAATAGTGTGAGCCTGCCCAGTCTTAGCTATTTTTAGGTTTACCAGGTAACTAGCTTCCAAAGCTTTTTCACTTGAAGTACCAGAACCTTTCATTACTTGTCTGCTATTTTGGAACTCTGTTAATTACCTCTTAAAATAGCCTTCAGATTTATCCTTTAAATTGACATGCTTAGATTCAAGATACCTTTTAAGAGAAGATGGTTTCATACTTTGATTGGATAATAGTTCACCGCAGATAACACATTGAGGTTGAGGGTCCATTTCATCTCTATTCCAAGTAAATCCAAATGATAACTAACTTTCATTATATTTTCTAGAAACATTTTATTTTCTAGATTATCCTGGATCCATCACCTGTGAATCATTACTTTTCCACTTAGTCAATCATAGCTATTTTTCCATTTTGAAAATCTAGGTTTGTTTTATTATTTTTTTCACAAATATTTAAATGTACAATATGTTAAGAGTTCTTTCAAAAACAGACGATGATATTCTCAAACCGCCCAGAAAAGTAAGGAATACAAAGCAACAAGAAGACAAAATACCTACTGTTAGAGACAGCAGACTGATGTAAAAATGATTCTCATTGAAAATGAGCAATATGAGCCCAGAAATGGCGACATATAAAGTGCTGACATGCTAATAAATCAATAAACTCTAAGAGAATTAATGAGATACAATTATCTATTTTTTATTGGAACTTATTTTTATTTCCTATTAAATATAGCCTCCATTTCTATCACACCTTTTAAAAACATCATTTATGACAAATTTTGTTATGTCTAAATGTACAACATGGAAGAACCATGAAAACTGCTATGCAGACAGATCGTTTGCCTCTTGCTAAAGTCTATGAGCGGTGACCTTGAATAAAGCTCAGGTAGCATAAATTTAGGAGTCTAGGAGAAAAACCTGAATCAGGATTTCGGGGTTTTACTTTTTGAATTTAATAGTTAAAAATACTTTGCTTCTTTGCGTACCACCTATTTTTCTCTTGCGTACCACTGGCTGAGAACCCCTGCTTGAGAGCATTAAAACTTATTTTCTATTGCAATAGTATGCAGCTAGACTTTGACAAATGGTGGATAATCAGACTACATGAGATCATGTAGCCAATTAATTTGTTAAGGGCATGTTTGAAGAAAGATAACATAGCAATCTATGATAGATTCAGAGATGGTTAAAAGATGTTCATACCCATCATGTTGGGTTTGGAGCATAGAGGATGACCACTGAAAGGGCTCTGCTATTGGATAGGGATTGTACGTCAAGACTATTCTGCCAGGAAATAATTCAGCATGACATCACGCTGAAATAATTTGGATCATCAAAATGGCATCAAACCACGTAGTCTAACTTTGGGTTCCAGTACTTCGTTCACATATCTCTGAGTGATTACAGAAACTGCTTGAAAGGTATGCAACTCGATCTTGTCATTTGTCATGATTCCTCCTCAAACCATTAAACTTCAGTTGAGGAAGCAGAATATTTCATGCACAAGCAAAGGCAAGTTCTATGTTCCTTTTTCTCTCCAGATCAAAACATGTCTAGAATGACTGTTCAGACTATATCTAGATTCATCAGTGAACAACACTCGGACCCAGTCATCTTGACTCCATTGAACATGACGACGACACCAGTTTAAACTCACCCCTCTGAAAGCTGAAATGGGTGGGACACAAACCATTGGTTTTCTTGAATACAGGCCAGCCTCATTGAGTTTTCGTGCAGCACTAGAATGGCTAATTTGAGTTCCTGTAGCAGCCTAAATGTTTAAAACACAAATCTCTTGTAGTTACTTTATGATTTCTTCGAGCCGACAGTGACAGAAGACGGTCTGCTGATGCAGCTGTTGCTCTTGTTCACCTTTGACCAGGCTGTCTGTCAACTGATCCAGTGCTTAAAATGCAACTCCAAACTATTGCTATGACACTTTGAGGGATATTCAAATTTTGGGTTACCTTCATTTGTGTTTGACCTCGCTCGATTCTACCAATTATTTGCCACTTTTGACCTTCAATTAAATGATGCCTTTGAGCCATAACTACTGAATACTGATTACTCTCAGAAACCACATTCACTTTAAGCAACACTACAGACCTGAATTCCAACATGTGTCTACTTCGCACCACGTTGTCAATCACCAAATTTGCATATTTCCAATGCTAACATATGTGCAAAAGTGCAATTGTGCGTTCACTTGTATTTAACTAACATAAATAACTACAGCATTGGGCACTAGTTGAAGCATAAACTAAGCAAGCATATTTTTTTTCATTGTCCTTTAATTTTGATGACCAGTGTATATATCTGGAATAGTTTGGAATCTTGAAATTATGTAGTTGCACTTTAGAGGCATAAAGAAGTTGTTACAGTCATGTCCAATTTTTAATAACGTTTTCTGATGTTGTTGACAGACATTTTCAAGCCAACATAGATAAATTGATGCAATAAGAACCTATTTTTGAAGAACTACATCAGTACAATCACATTTTTTAAATATATTTTTGAAGATAGACAAATTAGCTGGCTATCTAAAACAACAAGTTAAGTTCCAAGAGTTTTGAGTTTCAAGTCACAAAATTGACTTTGGTTTGCTTTAGCTTGATTAGTTAATATTTAAGCTTCTGAAATTGCTATTGGCTGAAACCTTATGCAAGTCATCTGCACCATCAGCTTTATGTAAGAGTCATATGACAGCTATTAATTTTGAAATGACACAGTTTAGAGAGCTTTATTATAAGCAGTTACTATTTTTAGGACAGAAGAGTAAATACCTAAATTAAAAAAAATAGTTAAAGGACTAATTGAAGGTTAAAGCTAGCATTTTGATTTAATGTTTTTTTTTATCTTTTATGTATGTAATATATACATGTATTATAGTTCTACATATATGTCTAAATAAGTTTATAAATATGTGTTTTCCTTTGTTCTAATAAGACATTTTCTGTTTTATGGGACTGTGAACAGACACTTTTTTTAGTATTTAACTATCAATCAACTTCATTTTTACATAGTTTGAGCATGACTGTCTGGTATGTCATGCATTATTCAGCCATATTTCATAGAAGATGCAATGGCGATAGTGACTGAAAAATGCTACCTTAGTATGACTAAGAATTTTCATCCTTGCCAAAAGAGATAATTGAAAAAGACTCATTTAAGTTTCAGCAGAATGGTCAATTATGCATGTAGCAGCTAGCATAAGTAAGCCTTCTGTTCATTGGCTTCAAGACTCATAATTCTACATTTAATTGACTTCCACTTTATCCAGTGTGAATGGGATTACAGAGGCATTTTAACAATCCTATTTACCAGACATAATCAGCAGTTGTAAGAGGACCTGAAGCTATGCATCATAAGAGATGTTCATATTGGATAGGACATTTTGATGTGTGTAAAACTATAAAAAAAGACTCCAGGAATGTGATTTGTCAATGTATTGGTTTGAGCCATAGGGCATCATGCCAGTGTATTTGTATTAGCAGACATTTGTAGTAGTCTCCGGGTAATGTTAATTACATTCTGTATCATAAAAGTTATGTAGTGCAGTGGAGAACTCTGAAATTAGAAACAGTCAGCTAATTGCACAAAACCCGTATGTTGCTTTTGGTATTATTTTGAGAACATATACATGGAATGTAAAGCTAAATGCCAACATTTTTTTAATGTTATGTTGTAATTGTAATGCTATCTAAAAACTAAATGTTGTATTAGTCGGCAATTATACTGCAAATTTATATATGTATGTTATATGTTGTATTAGAGTCTGCAGTGAAATTTATACATGTATGTTATATTACACTGTTGGTTTAAAAACTAAATAAAATGTTGCATTGGATTTATAGGGATGGACAGTTAAAACGCGTGCAAGTAAAGAAAGAATGGAAAGAACTGCAGCAACAAGAATATAGCCGAAAACTTATGGTTGATGAAGTTATTTTAAACACCTAGAAAAGGACCTCAAATAAAATCATTTCTGTGTGCTAAATTATCAAAGAGCTTTATCAAAACATTTTGTGATAATTTTGAGTGTACCGATATTTTTGTCTTATATAGATTCAATATTCATTTGTGGTTCAGTTTTATTTAAAAGGCTGAACTGTAAAATTAAATGGTTTGTAAGTGTTACACTTTTATTAAATGTTGAATGATTACATGTACACAAGTTTTTAATTCCTGTGTAACATAACATTCCTTTGTAAACATAAATATATTTATAATACACTTTTAAAGATATATATTTAAATTAAAATAAAATATAAAAATATATTTGTCTTTAGGTATTAAATGCAATTCAGTATTTTAAAATAATAATGTTATGCTGTAATATTTTATGAGTATTTACAAAATGTGTCTGTTTAGGGGATTAAAAACATTTTTTAAATAATTACTTTTGTATTTTGTCACATTGGTTAACTTCATAATGAGTCAATATATCAGTCACTTTTTAATTAATTAATATTTAATGTAGTTGCTAATGTCTTTCACCAATAAATTTAAATAGGTAATATCTTGATTGGCAATTCATTTTTCAGATGATCTTAAATAAGAGTGTTTTAATGTTTCTCCATTTTAAAATCAATCAACTGAAATCAGAACTACTTGTCAAAGATGTGAGTGAAACTGATTTAAATGGACGTCTGTGGTTTGATTACCAAAAGAGCTTACATAACTGTTTCTTATGATTATTAAAATAAATAAAGAATAATGCAGTTATCAGTTAGTATACATATATAGTCCTTATCAAAATATACTATTTACGTATATTTGAAAAAATTGAAAAGCTTATATTATTAAAATATGAACAATCAGCATATATTATTAAACTATGTGAACAGTAAAATTTTAAAAATGTAGGGGTTTATTTTTTGAAAATATTATTAATGTAGAAATATATTAATCTATCTGTCATTTAAGTATCGAATGAAAGGATAAAAGAAAAACTGTAAAAAGAATGATAATGGATCTGCCTATTACCGACCCATCCATATGATGTGTGCTTTATTTAAAAATCTATGTGCTTTATTTAAAATCTGATGTGCTTTATTTAGTGTGAATGGGATCCAAGCTAAGGGAAACCATGTCAACTTGAGTCAAGTAAAAAGATATTTAAATTTTGTTTCAAGACAAGAAAGAGTTTTTTTATATTGAAAGAAGCAAATCATATCTTTTGTGATTTGTGATTATTAACAATATAAATTTATTGATAACATAAATGTATTTTATTACTGTAAATAAATAGACAAAAGCATGAAAGCTATAAACCTTAAGAAATATTTCTGTAAGATGAAAATTTCTATACATTTCCAATGGGAATTTCGAATGAAAAACAGAGTACAGATTTTTAAATTTGAACCAGTTGCCAAACATACATGAATTCAAAGAAAAGTTTGTAGAAGTTCTAAAAATTTGTTAAAAAGTAATCATAATGATTGTTGAAAAAGATAATAAATGCTTTTTTGTGTTATACATTTTTGTAAAGTTTGTAAGTAAATCAACTCATTCATTAAATGTCCAAATTAAAATGTAGTTAAAATGTTTACTAACTGTAACTTTTTTAATGTAAAAATCTTCTGCTTTCACATAAGTGCTTTAAGTGTAGCTCTTTAAAACAAGAAATAGCATATGACTAGACACTGTTGATGATGTAACATCATAAATCATTAAGACACGATAACACGCCGAATAAATACTAATTCAGAAGTCAAACAACAAAAATCAGCGTTATACCTACAAAATTTTCACAGGACTAGTTTCGATGGTTTTACCGAACCATCATCTTCAGCTGCAAAACCGCAAATGAACAAGATAGGAAATAATGATTAGATAAGATAAGAAAGCCTGGACAAGAATAAGCAAGTGGCGCCATCTGTTGGCGAAACCAGAACTAAAACATAATTTCTCTAAAAGCCGAAGGCAAATTTGGATTGGAATTAGGATCGTTAACTAGAACAGAAAGATTTTTATGAATGTGAAATGCCTCTAGAAAATCCAGTTCTCCAATGGAAGATGTTTTTTGAATAATTTTGGCAGCAGAAAAATTGAAAGTGTGATTTTCGGACCAACAATGTTGAGCAACAGAACCATCGAAACTAGTCCTGTGAAAATTTTGTAGGTATAACGCTGATTTTTGTTGTTTGACTTCTGAATTAGTATCATAAATCATCATTGATTTTGTTCAGTCAGGAGCTCACCAGAGGCCAAGCGATAAAGTCATAACATATCAAAATTTAATCCGTCTTGAGGGTTGGCTGTATGGGCTGTGGTTTTTTTCAAAGTGTAATTTGGAGAGCCAGTTTCCATTAAAGCATCTTCTACAAAAGTGTCCCTTCAATCCATTTTCCATTCTGCACACAGCATATCAAATATTACACTCTTTGCTTTCAAAACTTTAAACTTTAAATGTTGAAAAACAAACTGAAATTCAACCACGAAAGCTTACTGGGTCACTTGATACATGGCTTGGAAGGCCATATAAAGTTTATCTATTTATTTTTTAATTAATAGTTCATTTTAAGTTAGCACTTTGCTATTGCTCTCTTTTAATGCCAGAATGTAAATGAGATAGCAAGAGTTTACAGCCACATTCAGCTGTTTAGTGGGCAGCTATACTATGTCCACATGCTGTTTTTCATAGGTGTATAGGTAGGTCCAAAATCAATACATGATGAGTCCCTTTGAAACTATTCTTTTATTGAGCTTTAGGTTAGAAATAAAGCTCTATTATAAGAGGTACAGCCATAGGTTATCTTCTAACAAGAAAGTTTACTACTGCTCTGGCATTTAGATGTTTGTCAGTTATAAGATAATTTAAGTTAACAGATGGACTGGGATAGGCAAATATCATGTCTAGAAAAAGCTGTATCTTTTATCACTGAGAAGATGTTGGACAATACAAAGAAATCAAATATCAGTGAAATGATTGTTGTGCAACAAAAGATTATTATTAAAAGTGCACTTCATCATTGTTTTAAATAAATTTAACATTCGTTCATGTAAATTTAATTTCAAACTAGGATTCTTGTTACATTTTCAAACTTGTGTTCAGTAATAAAAGTCATAAATTAGCATCTTTCCTTTCTTCCCATTATTTTATATATTTGTATATGTTAAATTTAAAATGCTTTTCTTTTCAAAATCTTTCTGCATAATTTATTAAATGTATTCCGAATTTCCTGCACATTTAATCAAATTTTTACTTCTGTTTGAATTGCACATGCTTTATCATTGTTTAAATAATCTTGCGCGTATGATTTCAGTTTTTTATTCACAACTAACTTGTATGACAAAATAAAAATTTTCTAAGAAAGCTAATTTTACCTTTTCCAGCTAATTTTTACATTTCTTGCCGTACATAAAACAAGTTCAGCTTGAAAAGTAAGATTATTTCAATTTTTCCATTATTATTTTTCTTAAGGAAAGCATTTGACTTTTCCACATGGAAAAAAGACTGATGTCATTAGGGGATTTTTTATAAAACGAATGGTTTTGAATTAGTTTTTATGGCATGAATGTTTTCATTGGGTTTGATTTATTTTGATTATAGCCAAGCACACGAGGGCAGATAGCTGTGCATTATGGCTGGAATGGTTTCTTGGAGAACTTTCTAAGGAAAGCTGGATCATATTTATGTTACAGCCAGGCTGCTTGGTTGAACTACCTGTGTTAGCACTTCTTTAAAACACAAAAATGTCATGTATTGCTTTCTAAACTTGAATTGCTAGACTTTGGTCTGTGTTTTTTAAATGATTTGTTTTCCAAATGGAAGAAAATTATAGCATCTGAATTTTAATATTATGAAAATTCAAAGAAAATTAATGCACAACAAACTATCTCACAATGACCTCTGAAAGTGACCAGTATTTATGAGACTATATATAATTATCCGTATTTATAATATTCTTCTCCAAGATGACCTTTTTCTGACCTAAGATCAACAGACGCATATTTTAGACTTTCAAAATTTTATTTCTGTTTCAACGTAAAATATTTCAAATCCTATAGGTCAAGGAGTTAGTTTAAAATTCTTTTTACAACTGAAAAAATTTAGTCCTGCAACACAGTAATCTTTAAATGCATCAGCGCATTCTTAGTTATTTATTCTGATGTTTTCATTTACCCTCTGTGGAGTTGCTAACACATACAAATCAAATCAAAGTCAAATGATGCTAAAAGCAGTCTAACAAATATGTTTATTGGTGCCTCTGTTACTCTTAAAATGATGAATTTTGCCGAAAAGAAGAAATCTCGGCTATTCCTTTACTTAAAACTTTAAATTCTGTAAGTCAGAATAGGAATAAAATTGATTTACTTTATGAAGACCAAACAATATAATAGAAATGATTAAAACAGAAACATATCAAGTAGATTTATTTTGAATCTATAAACAAGCAGTAAGTTTTTTTGTAGTTACTCTGAGGAGTATGTGAGATATGAACAATTTTTCAGCTTTATCCATAAGATGTTGCTTGAAATTTATGTGGGAGATAATTTTTTTCCTTTTTTAAAAATTTATTTTTAATGATTATTCATTAATCACATCTGCCATCAATTCATAATTTTATGAAGAAATCCATATAGTATCATAATTCTATATCAGTCTTTTAATATTAGAAGCAATAAGGCAAAGCCGTTTTACAACTCAATGCTTATCACTGATAGTCATTTTAGACCACTGACTCTCTTTACAGGATTCGTAGCGGTCCTTATAAGTACTTATAAGTCCTTATATTTGAAAATAAATTATAAAAGCTCTTATAGGTGCTTATTTTTTCTCTAAAGTACTTTTTTTAGTGCTTATTTTTTTGTTTTTAGTGTCTTTTTTTTTTCCTGCAGCAAAGCGGCAAGTAAATAAACAACTTTCTTATCTGGATGGCCAGATTGTGAATCATACTTCCGAAAATAGCTTTCTCCCCATTAACCTTTGACTCGCGCGAGTAGAAACAGGTGATTGTCGTTCTATTGGTCAATTCATATTCGTGTTTTACAATCGTTATCGAATGTCTGTGAATATTTATAATATATTTGCAGTAAATGCTGTAATGGGTAAGTGTGTTTTTAACACAGATTGGCTTTCGAAGGAAGAATATTCTGAATGGCTTAAAAAAAGCGAAAATAATCGCAAGGCCATGTGTTCCTGGTGTAAAACTGAAATCAACATAGCAAGTATGGGAGAGTCTGCCTTAAAGTGTCACGTGGATCGTAAGTAAACTTTTTTCTATTTAAATTATTATTAATTCTTGTGTGAAAATAAAAAATTTAAATCTTCCATGGACTGCTGATTTATTTATTTTTAAATTTTTATTTTCTGCTATTGTCATACTATTTATTTACTATAATATACTTATAATTTTGGGCTTACGTTTTCAATTTTTTTGCCAATGCATTCTACAATACAGAAGAGAGGGGTCATAAGGTTCCGGATCTTCCTCCCCTTTCTGCGAAAAATCTTGGATATTCAAACTGTTACAGTTCGCAGCAAAGCGGTTAAAGTACTTATTTTTTTATTATTATTTACTGAAAGTTCTGTGGTCTACCAAACCAAGCGAAGCGTGATTATATTCCAGAAATTTAACGCAGTCTCTTCAAAATTACAATCTAAAACACTCCGGATTTGTAAGTCTCATTCTTTTCCTTTATTTAGCTTTTTATCCTCCAAATACTGGCAGCTGTTCATTCCAATTGCGTAATAACACGTGCGGAAGAATTAAGGTGCGCGTATTGCGCAATACCATTTGCTATATTTTGCAAAGATAATTAGTTTTGGTATTAAATCTTGAATTTGTTTATGAGCACTTAAAATAGTTTTACTGTGCTTGCTAAGCAGAATATTCAGTTTGTTTGGGCTTTTTTTTTTTTTTTTTTTTTTTTTTTTTTTTGTTTTGTTTTTAAATATATTTTTACAATCTATATGTTTACGGTGATAATTGGACTACAAATGTAGTTTTTTTTTAATAGTCAAGAGCAATATTTGTTATCTACTGTATATTAAATTAAGATGTTTATTATATTTTACATTCTAAATATTGCTATGTGGCGAAAGATACAGAAATATTCTTAAAAATGATATTTAATGCATATGTCGAAATGTCCAAAGGATTTAGCCGAAAAATCTAAAAAACGACTACAATTTAATCCCATCTTTTCCCAGTTACGCTCGATAATGTGGAATTTTCAGATATCATCAATTTTTGAGCATGCCAGTTAGTTAAGCTTTTGCTGTATGAGACTGAATGAGGCAATTTCAGAAATATCCCCCTTTTTTTTACTTGAATTACTTTGCAATATCTGTTAAAAGAAAACTATCCTATAATGAAAATTTAGAAAATGTTCAGAATTTTGATTTAAGTTAAATTATTTAAATAATTAATATGAGTGGAAAAATAATAAATGTACAATAATTTTTATTATTTCTAGGTTGAAGCTAAAAAATTTCTGAAAGGGAAAAATACGGCTATTGGTGGAATA